TTCCTGAGTTTTTTCCATTTGGTTATATTCATTAGGTTTAACCATTTTTTCTCATACCACTCCAATATTTCGCAGTAGAATCTATCCTTCCTCGCTATTGAAAGGGTAATAGATGAACATGAGGCTTCTTTTTCCAGTTTTACTCATTATCTAAACGTGTTTCTGCCTTATGCAACAGAAATACCCAGAATAATGAGCACTGTGGTGAATCTATGATATGAGTTTATTTTAAAAGCTTATAGAGGAAAAACAAATAAAAGGAAAAGAAGGTAACGCAAAAACAAAGTCAAAAGCAGGAGAGGGGGGAAAATGCAGACTATGGAGCTGACAAAGAAGGAGTGGACGTTAAATTAAAGAAAGAATTGATTTGATGAAGAAATTGAAAAAAAAAAAGTTGATGAGGAAGTGGATAAGGAAAAAAAGCTAGATGAATTAAAGACCTTCACTGCTTCACATCCCCCAACCCCACTAGTAGCGCAGAGTTGGTTGTTGGTTCAACCAGATGTGCACTGGCACAATCAGTGGAAGGACCCTCGGCAACATTTTGGAGAGAGCAACGGAGCGTCAATGGACATGTCGGGAGTGCAGGGATGTTGCTTCCTGGAACAATGAACAATGGTTTTGGAAAGGCTACCCCTGTGGTTTGAAGTGCATGACACAATGACTATGTCAGGACAAGATAATGTTATCAGTGGTGTATTACATTGTGTGACTGAGTGCTGATTGACGCAGGAGATGAACTGTACACACATCACTAGCAAGCTGTTCAAATGTACTAAGCCCAGAAAGATACATTTTTCAGGAGAGGAAAATAGCTGTTTCAATTTTTTAAACAATTGCACCTTTATCACGTCTTTTGTTTTGCTTTTTTTATTATTTAGAATCAGAATTCTGAGAAAATATTTCACGAGCACGAGCAACTTATGCTACAGATTATGAAACTGCAGTAAAAATAAGATTTTACTTGACTTGCTACATCTGAACAGCTGGCCGACAACGTATCAGTTAATGAGTTAACAATAGCACTTATCAACAATCAGTTGCTATCGTTTATCTGTTGGTGTTCATTCTGTAACGTGAAACAAGACAAGAAAAGTCTTGAGCACACTGTTGACATCAGCTTCGCATAAGTGTGTGTTGTGAAGCAATACCCCTTCAGATTTCTGTAAAGGTTTTTAAATTTAATTTATTGATCCGCTGGACAGTCGTGGACACATTTATTTATAGTTTGTGGGTCAGATTTACTGAAGAATGGTACACATTAAAACCTCCTCTGTTATCTCTGCATTGCAGCTACTCTTTCTGGTTACTGGTTGAAAAGTATTGTCTGTTTCTTATTATGAATGCTTCAGATGTATGTGACTGGAACTGGGGAAAAAAAATCACATATAGAGTGCACTCAGCAGCCACGCACGCACACGCACACACACACACACACACACACACACACACACACACACACACACACACACACACACACACACACACACACACACACACACACACACACACACACACACACACACACACACTCACACACACACACACACACACACACACACACACACACACACACACTGTTAGATGTACACATGCTTTGACATAATGAAATAAGAGCTCGCCAATTTTTTTGGCTGGTGTAGTTATTGGTGTAAAAAAATGTTTGTCATTTGTCGAAGTTTATTTATTTCTCTTGCCTTTGAGGGAACAAAAATGCCCGTCTATCTTGGAAAAAAAGTTGTGACATTTGTGATTGAAGGAGAGAGGGGTCACCTTGTGTCAGAGGTAAAAATTAATAAGAAAATGTCTGCCAAAATGTGGTGACTTCCATGGCTTGAGTGTCTCTTGGAAACTACATTTTTTGGTATCTTTTATGCATCAACATTTTTCAATGGTATCCACACAGAGATGTGTTTTTGATTTGATATCAAAGGTCTTGAGCAAAATATTTTTTAAAAGTACAACAGGCAGAAAAATGTTTTCTTTGATTTCATTATTTTGACAAGGGTAATTTTTCACTACGATGCCTCACATTATGTTTGCATGAACATCTTGCTTACTATACTTTATCTGATGGTGAAAATCGTTTTACTAATGAACGTGATACATGTCTTCAACAGTCTTGCTGATAGATTCAACCTTGTGTATTGAATTATATGAAGCTCTTTATGCTCTGAATTTGTGAATACTCTGTTCTATCTTGTGTTCAGACTCTTTTATACACTTTTGTCTATCTTTCTGCCTGCCTGCCTGCCTGCCTGCCTGCCTGCCTGCCTGCCTGCCTACCTACCTGCCTGCCTGTCTGTCTGTTTGTCTGTCTGTCTGTCTGTCTGTCTCTCTGTCTGTCTGTCTGTCTGTTTGTCTATCTGTCAGCCTGGCTGACAATAAGTATGCTCATAAATCACCACTCTCTGTCTGTCTGATTGTAATCTAGCTTTTTAGTGGGTGGTTGGCAGGTGCTGTGGTGTAGTTAGCCTTTACTTTCCTGTCAAATATGGATCTTCATTATCTCTCCTCATTCTTTTCCTTTCATCCCTCTTGTGACGCCTCAAATTTTTGGCACTTACAAGTGCAGTAAAACTTCTAGCAAAACTAAATCTAGCCTTTTATTTTAGATTTTTGAATGATCTGATTCAGCCTGCAGATAATTTTTCACTCCGGACTCAAATACATGTAATTTGCGACCGCTTTGTAGCCTCATGTATTGTCTCACAAAAAGTTAATAAAGAAATCTAAATTTGATAACACCCCTATTTGTGGCAAATAGGTGTTCAGAATAAAGAGTACCATTTTATGATACCATAAAAAAAGGTTTGAAATGTAAGTGGTAAGGAAAAAAGAAGAGATGAAAGTTATGTGAAGAAAAGGAGCAAAATATAAGAGCCGCTCTGCGCGGTTATGCATTAAATTAAAACACAGGAGACAGTCAGCTGCTGTGAACAGGCTGAATCAGCTTAGTTTGCTTGTGGCTACTCATTTGACTGTGTGCCTTTTTATTTGTTCATGTGGTGCAGACTGGAGTTTCTCAGTGGGTGGAGACTGTCGTATCAAGAATACAGTAGATGTACATCTACATTGTACAGAGAGAACCATGTCAGGACAATTTCCCTGCATCTGTTTTTATGATTGTGGATGGTTGGTTGGCTGTTGCTCTAGTGTGGTTTGCTCCTTCTTTCCTGTCAAATGAAATATCCCTTATCTCTCCTCCTTCTTTTTGTGTTTGTTACTCTCTTGCAACACCGCTAATCTTCTATACTTATATGACCTGTTGTGTTGCAGGAGCCGTAAAATGCTTATTAAAAAACTTTGAAGGTTTGTTTTTATGATTCTTCTCTCTGGTTGTGAACTTTTGGTGAAAAAGTTTTACCCATAAGCTTTGTTTTTGTTATCTTACATGGCCCGTGTGCAACCTTCCTCACACCAAAGCCTAATTAATGAGATCCGGGGGAACGGGATGTGCATTCAGTCCTACAGAAGATGAACATTTGATTTTGAGGCTTTATCTTTAAATAATCACTTATTCTATATGGGAAAGCTTTTTTCAGACAGTCAATTGATGCAGCTTATAGATCTGCAGTTCTTCATCTCTTTCTTTTTGCGACTGATATTTTTCTGATCTAGAAATAATGTAATGTGATTATTATTACTAGTCTGAATTTATAATGACCGTTAAGAATCGTAAATGATAATCTTATGTCCATTACAATGTCAACATACTTCTCTCCTCTGACTCTTCAGTCTTCTCTTCCTTTGTTTGGTAAGGGTGTAGACAGAGATATGTCACAATATATTTATTAGACGTAGCCCTTAGTTGGGATTTTTGTGTGTGTGTTAAAAATCCTCTTTAGTCTATATATTGAGAGAGGAGACCAGGTCTGAAGGAGTTTGATGTGAGGCTGAGAGTGCTTGTGACATTCTGGAGGGTAGCTGTCATGATTATTATTTCAGTTCATGAGTGATCATAATCATAATGATGAAGCAAAAACTTCATATCGGTTGACACATGTGGTAGGGATGATAATTTTCTCAGTGATACATGTACCTATTGTACTATAGATAGTGAGTGACTATAGGTCTCTGTTTGTTAAAACCTGAAAATTAAATCTGTGAGAACATTTTAAAATGTAAAATTAGACTGTAGAAAATATACAGAATCAAATGCACTCCAGCTTGTTTCCATCCATAGAATTATGATCTTAACATTACAAATGTACTGCACATGTGTGCAGAAATGTGTTTGGAGGTTGAAAAGTTTGTGGAAATTTTAAACTGTGAGGCATGTGTTTAAACAGACAATAAAAATGTGTCAATAGTAGTCGCACTTTCATTAGTCCTCTTTCCATTTCTTCCTTTGCGTTTGTTCTATTTGTGTACAACAAAAACCTCTCCAATGCGGCTGCAGCCACTACATTTTTTTCTACCAACTGTTCAAACAACCTGTCTCAGATGGCCACGGAATTCTCTCATCGCCTTGTACCTTGCTATAAATCATTTATCTGCCCCTGGTACTGTAGACGAATATTCATAATTTTCAAACTAATTTTTATTGTTAGCCTGAAGTGACTGCTGATCATCATGTTGTGATGACGAGTTTCTGGTTTATCCCACTGAAAAGTGGGCCACAAGTTGACCCTTTGGTAACATAAAAAAAATAGGCCTTGCTTTACGGTAGTTCTAAGTTTGAGTCTGCCTCCAGTTGGAACCTCAGAAGGGAAAAGTTTTTTTTTCATTTTGATCAGTTCTGCCTTAGGCGGTCACCTGTAGAAAAATGGACATTGTTCTCCACAACAATCTTTCTTCAGCTTAAACTGTTTTGATGGTGTTTAATTTTTTTCACCACTCCCTACTGAACACCGGTTTGGAGAAATGCAAAGAAAAGTATTGGCCCGATTGCTTTCCTCCAGTAAATGAAAAATGGCAAACCCTACTGATTCAGTCAGAATTTTAATAGCATAGGAGTCCCAATATATAACATGCTTTTGTTTTTTCTTTACTTTCAGTTATCTTACTTGGGATTTGATGTTGAGGCGATACCCAGGAATCTTATACAGGACTACTGCAACATAGCGTCTCGATTGGATCTTAGTTACAACAGATTGCAGTAAGTTATGTTTTAAAAAAAAGTGAAATTCTAAGTAATTTTAAAAATATTTCAAAATACTAATTTCTCAGGCTTCTGCTGTGACAAGTGCATTTTATTAAGAAGTATTTTGCATTTTTCGTTGTTATTGTTGTAACCTTCTTTTTTTACATTGTGTTCTTTTTGTAAAAAAAATAATTTTTTTTTAGAGAAACATTATTTTGTAAGTGGGTTTATTTGGTTTTTCTGCAAATTTATCTTCACTCAGATTGAAAAATTGCACGTTGGTTCTTGTGGTTTTGTTATAGTGTGGTATCTTTCATATTTCTCTTTTGTTCATACAGGTCCTTATCAGGTTTAGAGCACTTCAAATTTCTGAAGGAGCTTGTTCTTGACAACAATGAGATCAGGGATGATATTGTCTTCCCTTTCCTCAAAGAGCTTCACACCCTCACACTCAACAAGAATAAGGTAAGCTCTTTGCATTACAGATGCACTTATGTAGTTTAAAACTTTTGTGAAACTGTTGACATAATATATGTAGTTCCTTCGCCATGCAAATTTCTGCGGCCTGAATTTCTGCATTGCGGAAAACTGAAAAATTATAATTAGTATGATATTCAAGGGACTTGAGATCTATATTTGAGCTTTTCTGTAGCCTGTTTCATAGCTTATAAAAGAATCATGATAAAATATAAAGTGCCAGATCTGAAACCGACATGGATGATCATGGTTCTCCAGTCATTTCTCTGCTTACCTGCTCTTTAAGAATCCCACATTACCCTTGTGTTTCCTCGTCACTCATCTGTTCAGGTTTTCCAAAGAAGTTTCTCTGTCTGCCCCTGCATCGTTTGTCTTCTACCTTTCCAATGGAAAAAGATATTCAAAACCCTTATGTTGAGTCAAGTATCATAGAAAGTGCATTTGTCGATTCCTAATTGTTCTAATTAGTGAGCAGTCCCCCTGGACTTCTTTCAGTACTTCTTCGTTTGATTTCTTTTCTGTCCATGAAATTCTAGTCTCCTGAGAAACCCTATTTTTGTTGCTTCTATTTTATTTTCACTATCTTTGGTAATTGTCCAGCATTCACAGCTGTATAGAAGGGTTGATCACACATCGGTTTTTAGAGTGCTTATTTTAGTAGTCCTTGAGATGTTTTTACTTTTCAGGATTGGATTCATTTTATTGAAGCTGTTCTTAGCCATTGTGATTTTCATTTCATTTTCATGGTACATTTGGGTATCAGAGGATATAATCATATCTCCAAGATATTTAAGTTGTAAAACTTGTTTAATCTTTTCTTTTTTGCTTATATGTGATTATAATCAGAGTTTACTGCTCTTTTGGATATTACCATGCATTCACATTTAACAATAACGCTTTATGCTCACTTTCCTTCACTACAGTATCTAGAAGAAATTGAAGGTCCTTTTCTGAATCTGAAATTAAGACTGTGTCATTGGAATATTTGATGATATTTATATTATCTACATTCACCTTGAGACTTGGACTTTCTTCTATGTTTCTGTGGATTGTTTCACTGTTCTGGCCAAAGAGGTGTGGTGACATGACGCATCCCTGCCTAATTCCTCTTTTGATTTGCTTATATTTGTGAAACTCGCTCAATTATTACAGTGGTATTTTGGTCTCAGTACAAATTTCTAATAATTCTTTGATCTTTTTATTCCTGGTAGTTTTTGTTGTAGTATCCCTGAAATACTGATGTGTGAAAATCAGTATTGGAAATAGACATAATTTCTGATACATGCATTGGAAATAGACATATTTTCTGATGCATTCCTCAATATGTTTGCAGATCACTTATTTAAAAATAAAAAGATTTCTATTCGTCATATGCTGTTTGTATAACCCAGTTACGAGATCTGGATGCACTGTTGGAGCAACTTGTTTCCCGATTCCCCAACTTGACATACTTGAGCCTACTTGGCAACCAGGCCTGCCCCAACCAGCTGTCTTCTTTGGAAAAAGATGAAGAAGATTATCAGAGATATCGGTGAGCAGAAGGGGTTTCTTTCTTTGATGGTAAATCTTATGAACAAGAATGATTCTAAATAAGTTTATAGGTCTTATGTTTGTTCTTATTTTAAAAATTTAGTTCTTTGTTGTTGTTTTCATTATGCTTACCTGCATTTTCATCTTGATTTACAAGTCTGATAATGTTAGAGGGTGTAAAATCCTTTCTTGTTCAATGGACAAGCAATTTTTATTTTAAAAGCAACAGAGAAGTAACCGGTTTCTTTTAACCTGTTCACTCCCCATCATGGCTTACATAGCTGTGCCAGGGAGTATTGTTCTAATTAGCGCTGGTATCGCAAATAACAATTAAGCATCTTTATTTTTAGTGTCACTGACTCCTTTCATCTGTTTCTGACTCAGGAACCCCATACAAATCATTATCATCACTATCTCTGTCTTCCATAAATTCATCTATAACTTCTGCAAAAAAGGTCAATTGCTTGGTCTGTTGGATGCCATAGTGAGAAGCAAATCAGAAAGAACTTAAAACGCCAGCACTTTTCTTCTACAAAAATGAAAATTGTAACCAAATCATGGAACATTTATGTACGTGCCTTGATGTGGTGGAAGCAGGCGCTCGTCAATTTTTGGGCATATGGAGTTATTGGTACCATCTTAAAGCTTGTTCAGTTGTCTTGCTATCAGTGAAATAAATACCCATCTATCTTGAATAGATGTTGAAATCATTGAGATTGAAGAATGTGGGGTCGCCTGGTTTCAAAGGTAGAATTAGCGAGAAAATGGTCGTCAAAGTCTGGTTATTTCCCTAGTCCGTGGAAACTGAAAACATACATTTTTTGTGCCTTTAATCAATGTTTTTCAGTAAAATCCTCCACAGATGAAAAAACAAAAATTCATAAAAAATTGCTAAACTGGCAGAAAGATGCCAGTTTCTTCGATTTCATTATTTTGACGAGTGCCTGATTTCACCATGCTGCCTCACATATTATCTAACAGGATTAATTTTTAGATGGTTTTTGACCCCTGAAAATGGATTGGTCCTTGGCTCAACAAATTAGTAGTGGGCTCATGGGGCAGTAGAGGCACGTCTTGGCCGGCTGAATCAGGGCATTCAAGGGGTTAAGAAGATTCTTGTTTGATATTTGAATGTACAGAATGCAACCCTGAGTTCTCTCACCCCTAGAAGCTCAATCTTTGTAGGAAATAAAGTAGGTGTTGATGTAACAGGGTGAGAAACAAAAATTTGTTGAGTTAAACAATATTTTTTTTTACTACAGCTGCTTTTTCTCAGATATTAAAAAGTTTTATGCAATCAATTTGGCTTTGTTTTGTGCACACATGCACACACACACAGTTACTAATGAAAAGAAAATTCTCAACCGAAGCACTTTGATTCAAAATACCTCGCTTGGTTATGAACTTGATGCCCGGATGCAGTTGTAGTGGTTCAACCTTCTTGTGAGGTGTGCTGACAAAATGACTTGCTTCGTTTCTCGCAATCTGCGAAAGGAGATATTGGGCAATGATGCTATTTTCTTCAAGTTTATACTTATAAATTGTACAAACCCAACCTATGTCAGCTAAAATCTGAGAAGAAGGGGTTGTTAGTTTGCCTTACAAATTATGGTAACATCATGTCCACCATCACAGCACTAACAACCAGTTTGGTCATTGTCATTCCTAAATTCCCACAGATACTATGTACTGTTCAAATTACCCCGGCTCAAGTTCCTGGACTCTTCGCAAGTGACGGGTGCTGAGATTGCCGAGGCACGGCGAGTGGGCCCGTTCATGCAGGTGGTCAGACCCAAGGATGAAAATTTAGAGGTCTGTGAATACCAAGTTCATTTCGACGCTTAGACATAGAAAGACTCTCTGCCATATGTGCCACTTTGAAAAGTGACTTATGGCAGAGTCTCACACTGACAGTCTATTTGTTCTCTCTTCATGATGCTTTTCTCCTTGTAATCTAGTTGGGAGCTGGTCTTAGTGTTCATGTACTGTTATAATGCTGTTAGTCTTGTTAACGTATATTTGGAGGATTAAAAAAAATAGTTATTGTAAGTTACACCAAGTTAAATGTTTGAAGTACTTCGTACTTGCTGAAAATTGCTTTCTTTTATTGATACTTTGACTGCACACAAAAAAAGTAGGAACTGGACTGCAGTATAAATTTTTTGGGATGAATTATTGGTCAGGTTTGTCTTCTGTCCATATAAAAGGCCAGTGCACTTACATGAAATATAATTAAACATTACCTGATCAAAAACAGGTATTACTTATTAATGATTATAATTATGTGGGTGGTTGGCGGGTGCTCTGGTGTGGTTTGCTCCTTCTTTCCTATCAAACATCTATCGTCCTTATCTCCCTTTCTTCTTTTTTATGTTTGTTACTCTCTTGTAACACCTCTAATCTTCTGGCGCTCATATGACCTTATGCAGTTGCGAGTGCCATTAAACCTCTACTAAAACTAAAACAGATTATAATTATTTACAAGCTGGCGGCCACATTATCCATGTAAGAGATATTTCAGGAAGAGACAAATTACAGATTGGACAATGACGATGGTGTACTGTAATAGTTAAGTTCTTTGCCTTTGCATGCAGAAGACATGAGCTCGATTCTAACGTCGGGAAGATACATTCTATTGAGTATATCAACTTATCATGCCATTGGAATGTCAGGGTTCTATCTCTATGGTTTTGAGAAAATTGGATTCCGAAACTCACGCTCTTATGGCTGAAATGTCTTTACACAGTATGTCTTTGGATGGTGTAGTCCATTTTTTAGCCGTTTAAAAAATGTTAAAAATATTTCTTTCAAATTACTCAAATAAAAAAAAATCTCAACTCATTCAAATTGCACAAAGACCACATGACCACATTCCAAATTCAATTCTTTTCATAACAACACAATTTTATGTGGGTTCAATCCTTAAATAACAGAGCTACTAGCGTTTTACTGAGGCTACCTCAGCTTGCTGGTCCATTTGCTGCAGAACAGGTAAAATGCCCCGTTCTTGGGAAGCACTTGCTGGCAAATGCCTAAATGAAGTTAGTCGGCAATGGATTAAAAATCTGTTGAAGTATGAATTGTATCACTGCCTCTGACTTTTAAGTCCGTACTAATATGGAAATCCTTTTTTTTTTTTTTCGATCATTTTTGGTACTTAGGGGCAAGAGGAGGAGGTTGCTTCGCCCAGCTCTCACAAGTATACTCCACTGCCAGCTGATGGCCAGGAAACAGAGGATATGGCTCCTCAAGGTCAGTCTTCCTTTTCTCTCCTTCAAATTTGGAAAAAATTTGTCTCTCATTCTTCTGTGACATTGCACCGTAACTTGACAAACTGTTATGGGTTGACTGAGTGTGTGAGTGGTTTGTTTTTTTCTTTGGTCTCTGGCAAAATCATGGCACAGGTCTTAAGGTTATTGGTATTTTAAGACATGTGATTTAAAGTACAAGGTAACGTTTTGGTACTTAACTCAGTATTGGCACTGGGAAGAAGATCGGAAAGAAACGAAACGTCTTTATAGACAAATGATTTTGAGACTTTAAAAACTGTTGGCATGTCATATAATGAACATTCCATTAATGAAAAAAAAACATGCATATATTATTAGAAAACTTCCTTGAAATAAATACTTCACAATTAGTATGCTTATAGGTGGTTTACTAAAGAAACTATTGCAGTTATTTCTGCTCTTATTGTTGCTGTTAGAACTTAAGGACTAAAGTTAGAGAATAGGGCATGAATCCAGGGCTTTGGGGTTTTAGGCAAATGAGATGATGGGTTTTCTTTTAAAGAATTGTGGTGCCATAGATTTTTGCCAGAATCACAGTATTATAAAATTATTCCAATCCCTAATGGTAAAGTATATCCATGGATTGGACTGGTAACATCAATTTAAGGAAATAATATTACTTTCCAAATGAAAATTTCATTCTTGAATAAAATAATTCTATATTTCTTGGTGTAAAAATTCTTTAAAAAGTGGCCTTTGACTTCCTGAATTTGGTTGCTCAAATATGCTAGATCTACCACTTTTTTTATATTAAAAAAAATATTTTCTTCCTCCCCGTCATTCTTTCTCCCCTTCCTTCTTCCTCTCTTTTGGATTTTTGCCTCGAAGTAGAAACTTCACCCCCTACCAACTGTGACAGTGAATAAACGTGCCTTATTGATGTTACTAGATAATTCTCCCATGTATTGTGTGGTCTGTTCCAATGTATAAATGAGTGGTTAATGTGTGAGGAGAAATGTTTGTTCAAACCTTTTAAAAGTAAATATGTTCACTTTTGAATTAGATATCTCGCTCCTACCCCATGATACCGCCTCCTTTTCTGACCTCTGTGGTAAATTGATTTATGAGAAGTTTATTTTAGCATTGGGCTAAAGCTTTTTAAAAGTGGAATTGAAATACAATTCATGTTGCGATTAGTGAATATTGAATAGTAGTGAATATCTCTTAGAGGCATGTTTTACAACTCTTGTTGGCTCCATTTATCATTCTGTCTGGTAATCATCGAGTACAAAGTGTTGGCGTGTTTACCTAAATGATTTTACATATAATGTGCTTCAATTTTACTACGAGCTGAGAAATATGAGAAAAAAATGTGTAACAGACATAAGCCATAGTGCTTTCATCAGGTAAATATCTTTGTCAAACAGTAGTCATTGTGAATGATATTGTAACAAGTACTGTTTTTTCTGTGTTGATGTGGCTTGTGCTAAGCTAACTTAATATGTGTCATGACGCGGTAAAATCAGGCACCCGTCAATTTTTTGGCCTGTGGAATTATTAGTATCATCTGAAAGCTTATTCTTTTGCCTTGCTTTCAGTGTAAAAAATGAGATAGAGATATTTGTGATTGAAGGAGGTGGGGTTGCCTGGTTTCAGTGGTAAATTTAACGAGAAAATAGCGTCAAAGTTTGGTAACTTCAATAGCTTGAGAGTCCTTGAAAATTGAAAAATTACAGATTCTGTGCCGTTAATCAACGTTTTTCAGTAAAATTCACATGGAAATATGTTTTTATTTATTGGTATGTAAGATGTGGAGCTAAAAAACAAATATTCAATGAAAATTGCCAATACTGGCCTAAAAATGCCTGTTTCTTCGATCATTATTTTGACGAGCACTTACATATCTGGTTCTGTCCCTCCACTTCCTGTCCTGTCTAAGATAAGGACCTGCTGAAAGTTGACATTCTTCTTCACTCCCATACAATTACTCTTTAACAGGTTTGTTTTTGTAAAAGGCAGATATATATACATTTGCTTTTGTCTCATTTTCCACAATAAACTAGAGATAAAAAATTGTCAGTCTTGGTTTTAATCTGTGATTTAAAAAATTTTTTTTTTCTTTTTCTAAAGGTCGTGGGAGTAAGTGTCTTATTCTTCACTTTGGATTGAATTTTGCTTTAATTTTGTCTAAATTTCTTCACTAATCATTTGCTGGCTGCTGAAAGACATGTTGTAATTTGAAATCTTTCATTTCTATGATGTGGGAAATCTGAGTGAAGGGACTGATGTTCAGTCAGAACTAAGAGTGACCCTTATGTTGTGACATTTTCTTTCCATGCTCCCAGGGTGTGGTGGACCCATGTATGTGACATGTTCTTTTATGTGACCTTTTTCACATCACGGAGGAGAAAATGAAGAGTAGACCAAGAGCTTTGAAGTTCAAAAGATTGAATTTGTTTTTATTCAGTGACAAGTTAGAGTAGAATCCTTCAAATACAAGGTTCTCAAACTTTTTATATATTAGAGTTTTCTGATGTTTGTATGTATTATCAAATTCAGGATGCAAGACTGCAAAATATTGTTTTATGTATTTACTGAATGATTTGACTCTATTTTCTGGAAACTATTAATTTCTATTAAATTCTTGCTGCTTTAAGGCTTACAGTTATAATGAATCTAGCATTTTGGTGCTTTTTTGTTCTTTATTTTTATATTGCTATATTATGCAGTCCAGTGTTTCTGGATTCATTTTGCGAGACCGCTCAATTTACTTGCTTTCTTTCCCAGGAACTTTTGGAAAGAGTAAATACATATACTATGGCCGGCATTCAGAAGGGAACAGATTTATTCGAAACAAAGATTTATAGCCTGAGATGTTCGCGTTCCTTCCAACAGCACATACCCCCGTCCTCCATTGATGTTGTGCACTGTGGCCCCAAAGCACCTCGAAAGATCCCACCATGTTTGATTTTTTTCCTTCTTTGTACGCCCAAGTCTTGCCCAGAGTTTGAACTCCAGGCCCTGTGGGAACCTTTTTTCTTGAATGCAAACTAACCCATGGTTCACTTTTACTTGTCCGTGTGCCTCAAGTTCTATGATTATGATGAGAGAAAGGAATATGTCCATGAAGTTATTACTTTATGCTTTTTTCAGGGGTCTTTGGGTTGAGTGTTCTGTGGATGAGGGTTGCTTTGCTGATTGTCTTTTTTTTTTTTACTTGTTGACTATTAGTTCACAGCCTTTAAATTCCATATTCCGTTATTAGAAGAGCCTTTGGTTTTTTGGGGTTTATTTGTGACAGTAAGACTTAGATACAGACAGCTGAATACAATTCTGAAATGAATTGTTTGATCTGAACAGAAGTTTTAGGTAACACTTAATGGTTTCATTCAATGTTATTCCATTGTGTTGCAGTTTCATGCTCGTTTTCATTCTCGCTGAATATATACTGTTACTTTATTAGTATATTATTATTGTTATTATAATTAAGGGCATCACAAAAAATAATGAGATCTCTTCATATATTCTTAACCTTAGTAAAGCTTCTTCAACTTGATGAAAGGCCAGAGATGTCTTTGCCTGGGGTGAAGAGAATAGTATTCTCACACTAACAAACAATTAAATCACTTTGGTTCACACGTAAATGTTTAGAGTGACAGACTGATATAGATTAATGTGTGGATTTAAGGGAACCGCCACAAGGGCAAGTTCAATGCAGATATTGATGATTTCATAAAAGGAAGTTTCTTGGCTTTGTGCTTCACTTGTCTGTTACTTTGCCTTGATATTATGAAAGAATTGCTTCTCTTGTGTGCTTGTAACACAATTACTTCTTGCTCCCTTGTTGATTTTTAGCTATGAGTCTATGAGGAGTAGGTTTTGTATTTACTCTTACTTATATGAACACCCGTCCAATGCTGCTACAAGTTTTGTTTCAGAGTAAATCTGGTTTCACAGTGTCATTTAGTGTCCTAAAAACTAGTCTAGGCAATGTTTCACAGGGTAATGACCATAATAGTGAGGTACGGTTGTTTGATTCGTTTCTGTATAGTCAACAACAGTATGTGAAACTGAAATCCAGATCAGCTTAAAAACCAACAGCTGCTTTTGTTGTTTTTCTTTGTTATGGTAGAAGATATCTGGTTTTAATTCACCTATACAACTAAATAATTCAGGGTAATTTTTCTTTAGTAATGAAAGATGTTTATTGTAGATATTTGATTGACATCATCTTAAAGTACTGAGCTAAAATATTCTTGCTTCTAAGAAGAATGATAAAACCACTTGGTGTACACTGAGATAAAAATTCAGTTTTTATATTAAAAAAACCCAACAAAAGCGTATTCTTTGTTTGAATGAAAATCAGTGATTTTCTTAAATACTTCATTTATACTATCACAAAGTCCTGAGTGGTGTAATTTCTGTACAGTTTTTACTCATTAATGCTATTCTAGTTTACTTAATGTGATTTGTTTGTTTTCACATCATCTGCTCTAATCACAGCTGCTGGTATTCTATATATTTGCAAAAAAGACATATAAATACTTTCCTGTTGTGTAATTACTTTTACTGATTTGAGCATGGATATTTAGCAATGTATTTCTCTGTTATGAAGTGGACAATTATGAAATAAGATCTGCCAAGTGTTATCCGTTTTTCTAGCATATGATGATGATGATGATACATTCATATGTTGCCCATAATTGAAATGAACAATGGTATTATGAGAAAACCCCCGGTGATTTAGACGATGTTTTCTATTTTCTTAATATAATTGTTATCAACGCTCTCCATCACATAGTGAGATAATAAGATGAGTAAATTTGAATGTGTTCAAATTCACATTATTCCTCTTGTATAATTAAGGACAATATGCAGAGGACTCCCAGTGGGGAGGGAGATGAAAATTTGGTAGGTTTAAGTAGTTATCAAGGGCATTATTCAAGGAAAATAGCATGGCGTATTTTGTTTACACAGGCTGATAATTACTTGTGTTGCTTCCTCTGATCGTTTAAATTTAACTTGTACAATTTGAGAATTGCTTTAGAGTCTGTCTACACCTGGGGACTGGATTTCCTACCTCTTGTGTGTAGTGTTGCGTAAATCGGCTGATTAAGTGGTAAAACATTCTTGGGTAGAAAGGCAGGGGTTTGTGGCACTCAATGGTTGTGTGTGTTTGTGTTTTCATTAACGTGTGGGTGAGTCACGCTAGTGGCTGGCCAAAGCAGTGAGCACTCACCTCATGTGTGTCAGGTTGATTGGAATACTTGTTGGGGAAGGAAATTGGCTTTGGCTAACATTTTCACCTTTACCCAGTTGCTTGTGTCAGACCCAGACAGATATGTCACTCCTGATTCTGTGGTGTAATGGTTAGGCACTTCGCTGTGGCACACAGGAGAACCCATTTCAATTCCTGAGTTGCTAGAAATTTTTATTGTGTATCTTGGTCTGTCTGCCGGTATGTTGTATCCCTTTCAATCCAGGTTAGCCCTGACAGGCAGGGTCAGAAGCTAGCCTCCTAAATGATATAAATTGTGCTGATAGGGGAATAAAAACTTAACAATAAAAAAAAAAGCCACTGCATTTTTGATGATTGGTTGCTTACCTCCATTTGGAGGGAGGTAGTGCAAACTAGAATAAAGTGGAGTGTGGTGGGCTGATAAGATTTTGATGGAAGAGTCAATAAAGGTTTTGGGTTTATTTTCTTCAAAATGCAGTTGATGCTGATTTGCCTCCCTTGACTTCTGATTTCAGGCTACTGGGGTAAGAGCAGATCCAAGTATCTGGGCCGTAACTCAGAAGGGAATCGGTTCATTACTGATGGAATTTTATGAGTGCATGTTTTGTTCAGTCCTTACTGCTCCCTCTGGTTGTTACTTTTTTGTTGTTGTTTATTTTAAAACTAAAGATCATAATCTTTGTTACTTATCATCACTTTTCTATTGCTGATATTTTATGTCTTGTCTTTTGTAGCCTGTGTTGAAGTATGACTGAATGGAAGCTTTCATTCTTGTATTTGTAGTCAAGACAGATGGACATATGAACATCCGGTGGACCCTGAAATGTCATGTGTAGGCTTGCTGTAGATTCTATTTTTTTGTAGGGAAAGAGGATGCATACTCAAAATTATTATTTGAGCAAACCTGCAAATATAAGGATATCAATGGCTGCAGAATTCTGCCTCAGCACTGATTTTTGTCATTAACAATTTGATTTCATACTTGAACATGAAATTGTTCTTGTAAGTGAAAAAAAAAGTCTACTGTAATATGTCAATTATTATTTCCTGCGTACTTATAAACATTCAGATTTATGATACATGAGCAACATCATGAACAGTTGACAGGGTCTGTCGACAGTTTGTTTGATTCCTCTCTACGCTTGTTGTTTTTGTCGAAAAATGGGAGAGTCTTTTGAGGTCTACGAATTTGCGTGTGCCTGGAGAAAGGAACTACAAGACACATTTGCTTTACTGAGTTTCATGGTAATAAAGGTCTAGTATAGATATTTTACAAATATTAAGTTCTATTAAGAAAGCATTCTTTAGCCATGTATCTATCAATATTTACACGGCTTTGCGTTGATTGTACATCAAAAATCTACTTTTGAAGAAGTTTTTTTTTATACAAGTCATTTTACCTAATAAGAAAAATTGCATGAAAACATTTGCTGTCAGAGCCTACATTGCGGAAAGTTTCTACAAACTCGTAAAAAAAACATCACACTGCTTACCGAAATTTAGGTCAGTTTGTGACCTATCTGGAGCTGTGAATTGTGCATCAGTGTGTCAGAACAGTAAAAGGTAGGTTTTGTGCATTTGTACCCCATTACACTTCATGAGCAAAGCAAAGCCATGAAGCCACTGAAGGTGATTGTGACTCATTCATATAAAAAAAACCCGGCCCTTCACATGGCATATCGAAATTTGTCTCAAAGCTGTGTTTCCGCATCCTGCCTAACAATATTGGACAGGTCCCACAAAATATTGACCCTATCTTTAAAATTTTCTAAGCGAGTTATTCAGAAATCATATTTGGACCAGAAACTGAAAATGCGTCATACAGTACCTTTCTCAGGCACACACACGAATTACTGGATTCCAAGTAGTCTTCTGCCACAAAATGTTGTTTAAGATAGGTTACTCAAAATTGTAGAATTTTTACTCTTTCTTGTTTCTTCTTTTATATATATCTGACTATGGATGATAGTTCCAGCAAAGAATTCAATTGTAACAAGCATGATGTACTTGTTGATGTTATTTCTGTTCAAACTTTCATATCTGTCTCTTTTCCTATTTTCTGCACTTGTTATGTTATTTATTTTTTGTTCACAATTGTGGTATCTGTCTCTTTTCCTATTTTCATTTTCAGCTCCATTTTGTCATTGAGAAATTTATGCCTTGTGATGCGGTCAAAGAATTTTTGGCCCTTTGAATTTGTTTCCAGTCAAGTAATTTCTTTTGTAAATTTTGTAGTTTCTTTTCAAAAATTTTTTTTATTGCTCTTTCACAATTGATATGCCATATAAACTTTACCCCTTTTTTTCATACCTTGCTGCAGTTAGTATGTATTCTTTTAAATCTATTATCACCTGATAGACTTTTTTGCCCTGAGTTATCAGAAAGTTATAGAACTGGGTTATCTTTTGTATTGCATGCTGTTGTGTCTTGAGGTACGAGAGGCAAACAAAAATGCATGAAAACTTTTGTATTGTCTTGGATCCTGTGATGGATAAAAAAAATAAAATTGCTATGACTTTCAGCATCTACACAAGTATTTTTAGGTTCTATCTCCTATAAATTGTACCTAGTAAAGTGTTTCCAGTTGCTTGGCACTTTTCAACTTTTGAAAATTCAAAGCACACTAGAGGCAGTACAAATACTGTATTATTAGTATTACCTGCTATGTAGCTATTCATCTGATTGGAGATTTACAAAAATGAACTTATTCACATTTTTATATCATTTCTCTTCATCATTGCTTATTTTTTAACACTTTGCCGCCACAAGACTCATATAGTAAAAACTCTTGCCATCAAAGACAAAGGTATTTTTGGGGAAAATCCAAAGAAAATGGGTGGCAGACATCGCTGATGGAGGAGATGAGGCGGCAAAGTGTTAAGGCAATATGTCTAGGGGAAAAAGTGTGTGGAACGTTGTTTGTTGACAGCTTCTGACAGAATGATGTTGCTACATTATGCACTGTCTGCAGATATAAGAGTATTGCTACTTTGATTCCTCAAGCGGTATTTATCTTCTTGAGACAGTTAAGTGAAAGAATTAAACATGATTTACTTTGTTATAAAGAACTACATGCATTTTGTTTTTCGTAGACTCTATTCAATACCCCATGATACTGATTTGTTTCCCTTTCAACTTTCCAGCTAGAAATTCAGTTTTTTTCTTGTGAATGTCCATCTTTTTATCCATGTAAAGTTACCATAGCTGTGAAAATAGTATGTTTTTCAGTGTGTGAAAAGTGGTCAGAAATTCTGAGTCCTACCGTATATAAGGAATGTGTTACATGCATGCTGCTCATTGTTCTGGGGTGTGTCCACCAACAACTGATGAAAAGGCACACATTGAACACTTTCCGTGTGGGTTGTTGGCTTGTGCTTCGGTGTGGTTTTGCTTCTTCTTTCCTTTCGAACATCTATCGTCCTTATCTTTCCTCCTTTTTTGTGTTTGTTACTCTCTTGTATCACCTCTAATCTTCGGCACTTATACGACCTTAATGTGTTGCAAGTGCCTCAAAACGCTTGCTAAAACAAAACACTTTCTGATCAGTTTTTGCATTTGCTTCTGTTAAGGCCACGGATCTGATGGCTTGTATCAGAGTGGGGTGATGTAAATCTCGTCGTGCTCCCCAGTGAACTTATTAATGTGCAATGGTTTTGTAAGCTCATCTGGGCCAGGTCATGGCTCAAAGACTTGCTGTAGTTATTCAAATGTGTCACGACGTGGTAGAATCAGGCGCTCGTCAATTTTTGGGCATGTGGAGTTATTGGTATTGTCTTAAAGCTTGTTCATTTGGCTTGCTTTCGTTGAACTAATTTCCCATTTGTCTTGAGTAACGGTCGAGATATTTGCAATTGAATGAGATGGGGTCACCTGGTTTCAGAGGTAATATTAGTGAGGAAATGGCCGCCAAAGTTTGGTTATTTGCAAAGCCTCAGAGTCTGTGGAAAGTGACAATTTACATTTTGTGCCTTTAATAAACGTTTTTCAATATAATTCACATTGAAATAGGTTCTTAAATAGATATAAGCCAAGAAACACAATTGCAATAAAAATTGCCAAACCAGTGGAAAAAAGCCAGTTTCTTTACTTTCATTATTTTCACGAACGCCTGATTTCACCACACTGTCTCACAAATGTTTGTGTTCTTGTTTGACGCACTGGCCCAGGTGTTCTATGTCTTTGTTGTCTTTGTCTATAATGGTGGACATAAAGTTCTTTGGGGTGACAAGCTTCTAGTCATCATTTGCCTTGGTTCAAACTTTTGAGAGGTGTTGATGATTTTCTAGTGTATGAAATGATCCTCAGTGTACTTTTTGTCATGTAACTGTTGTCTTTGTCTGTTTTCTGGTGTTTACATTGGTGGTCTGAACCAAAACATGTCTACGTCGTGGAAAACTTAATTTTTGGTGAATGGGGGAAGTACAGCTTGATTATGTCTATTTTCTCTTATTGTTTGATAGTATTCTTTTGCTTCAAGTCTTAAAGAGGATGTGCTCATACTGTAGAACATTTCAAAATTAGGCGTAAGGATGTTGAATCCAGACTGAGCCTCTTTGCACTACACATCGATTGTGTGAAAGGACATATAGCTAATACTGTATTGTTTTGTGATTGTCACCTTGTATGACTTTGCCCATAAGGGCTCAAATATTTATACGGCAAACATATTTTCTTTCTGTGTTGTATGTTTTATCTACTTTTTCACTCATTGCATTTTTGGTGCAAATCAGACGGTTGTGTTAGTTTCCATGACCACTGCTCTTATCTCGTCCACTGTTTCAGCTGAGCAATGGTGATATAATTTTCAAAATATAATTTGCCATTGACTCTGCTTTTTCATTTCCTTGAATTATTATTGTAATATATTACAAATACTTCTGATTCTTTCACACTTTTTATATTTGAATGCTGAATTAGTTCTTCTGCATTTTGTTTTGGGAATGGTTGTGAATGCTTTTGTTATACATGTCTCAGGACCATATCTAGATGCTGCATCTGTTTCACCAGCAGGAGATATTTTCTCAGCTGCAGTAACTTCCTTAAAGTATTTTTGAATAGAGATCTCTTGCTTTTGTATCTTTTTTCCAAGAAGTGCCCTTGATAGTCAAAGCTGTGGAAATAAGCGTGTGCGAGTGAGATTGTTGGGCACATTGCCTCAAAAGATTCGCTGACTGATATGGTGATTAAAGTACATTCAGCCTGGGACCAGATGTACATTGTATTCACTTACGAAAATTAGGAATACTGGATCTACTCTAATAACTTTTCTTTTACTTGATCTGTTTCAAATTGCAGTTTAAGAAGTAAAATCGTTTCATCCTTAATCAAACTGTATTTCTTTTGTGGTAAGACAGCTTGCTTAGAATGGAGGTTCTCATGTACATTTACTTGTTCCGTTGTCCGTCATGCTTTCCTTGGATTTTGTTTTTGGAGAGTTCTTCTTGCCCATGCTGAATGTTCTTGTCTTCTGACTTCTCCTTATTTGAGTTTTGTGATGGCTGTAAAATGTTTGTTTTGTTAAAATGTCAATTAATATTAATAGAGCAATAATTATTTCCCACCTCAGGGGATGTAGAGGCTGAAGGTAACTTTTTTTTGTCAGAGTTTGATTTTGCTAATCTCACAGAAAACATACTTTATGGATGTGTGCCAGTACCTGAAAACAGTATTCCTTCTCGCTGATTGCAGTAATGGGATTTTTGTTTTGTTTCTAGATTATATGACTTTGAAGAGTGCTTTTCTTTCAGACAGAATGAAAAAGAGAAAAGAGCTAGTGAGCGATGAGGATTGTTTCTGCAGTGTTGTCCTTCCACTTTGCTGTGTAATTTTGAAATCATAGATAATGCAGAGTCTAGGGATGTTCCGGCCTTTTTGTTAGTTTGATGGTGCTTAATTGAAAGTCTTATCACTCTGTACATGTGTGTGTGTGGACTGTGCTAGATTTTTTGTGACTTGTGAACCCTAGATTTTTTCTAGCGGAGATCTCTTTAGATAGAGTGTGCTGAATGCGCCCTGCCTCATTGATTATTTGCAGTTATGCATTTCTGTTGGATATAACACACATGATGTACAGTTCATCTGTGTAACTTATTTACCTACAATAACTAAAGTAAATTAAAACAGTGTGAAGTGTTTTTTATTCAGAGATTTTAGCTTGTTTTAGTATAGTTTTTAAGTGCACATGTTTTTGGACAATGGTCAGTCTTGGTTCCATACTGTCCACATTTGATGTTAAAATCATGATTTCTGTAGCTGAGTGTTCAGAAAGGCCTGTGAAACACAAACGGTATTACCACAGATTCGAAGTATTCGGAGATTTAGATGAACCTGCTGCTTACTTTTGAAGGTTTTTTTTGTTTGTATGTTGATGTATTGTTTTTACAAATCTAAAATGAGAGAGAAAAAAAACGTCTTGTTGATTAAAAACTTTTTATTGGCCTACTGAATTTTTCTCACTTCATTTATGACTTATTTACAGACAAAATGTGAAATAATTCTGTCCAAAAGTAAGATCTGAGTTATTGTGGCAGAGATAGACCAAGAGTAGCTTGAACAGATAGGAGATCGGAGAAATCCTAGACTAGACAGTGGAAGTTTTTGAGAGAATCTGAGCAGGGAAAAAAGTCAAATGGCGAACTTGATCGTCAATGTCTTTTTTTTTCAGATGGGGCACTTAAAAAAGAAGAAAAATACATTAGTGTTTTCAGTGTGCAATACTAATGGACTTGGATATATGTAGAAGAAACCTCACGAGAATAATAATTTCTGGGCTCAACAATTTTTCGTTTGGAAGCCTGCATTGCTAACACTAAAAGAAAAATTAATTTCATTCATATAATATAATACAGTAGTATTTGTAACCAAGGTTTGTTGATTTGAATTTCAGTGTCACTCCGCCATAGGCCCAACTGGTAACATTGTCATCATAAATAATATGTACATTCTTATTGCTTCTGCTTCACATTTTTCCTGAACATATCGGGGAGATTTATTGAGGCAATAATATCTGTAGATCTATTATTTTTTCGTTTTTGTTTGTCAATGTTTACAAAAAAAATAAAACAATAATCCTTTTACTTTTAGCTGGTGACTAATACAGCGTCTTCCCTTGAGAAACAAAATGAATGAAGGTGTGGCAAAAGCTGGGACTAAATAAATTCACTTTTGCTTTCATTCATCTGTCTTTTTAAAACTTCACTTATTCATCTAACATGTTTGTTTGTCTATTTTTTAATCTGTTGCCGACTAACACATTTCTCCCTCTCTCCCTGTGGGTGTGTGTGTGTGTCTGTCTGTGTGTATGTCTATGTGTCTGTCTGTCCTCCTTACCCCCCCCCCCCCTCTCTCTCTCTCCTTCATGCACACAGAGACATGATTTGTATTTGTATTGTCTTACTCTCTTCCCCCTCTTTCTCTCTCTTTCACACACACACACACACACACACACACACACTCACACACACACACACACACACACACACACACACACACACACACACACACACACACACACACACACACACACACACACACACACACACACACACACACACACAGAGAGAGAGATTCCGAGGGAGAGAGAGAGAGGGGGAGAGAGAGAGAGGGGGAGAGAGAAAGAGAGAGAGAGAGAGAGAGAGAGATTCCAAATGATTTATTGATTTGAAAGGCCTTTGGCCCGTACATCAACATATTTTAACATATGGTTCGGCAATTACGTACATTGGTGCAGCACATCGGATATTTCACATAAATTGGGCACACCTGCGCGCACGCACGCACACACGCACGCAAACACGCACGTGACGCACGCACATACACACACTAAAAAAATGACACATACACACTCATACTCACACACATACGTACGTACAGACAGACAGACAGACAGACAGACAGACAGACAGACAGACAGACAGACACGCATGCATGCATGCATGCATGCATACATTGATACATACATACATGCATGTATACATACTTGCATACATATATACGTACATACATACGTACACACATACATGCCTATATAATACACCCACACACATACCGTACTTACCATACATGATATATACATATATATATGCGCATAGACGTACATATAAGGTGTTTTTGTCACCAGTTTGTATACAATAAAGAGCACTTGTTAGGGAGGTAAGGATGAAATAACATACGTATCTACCAATTGAATTTGGATTTTCAATTATCGTAAACGATGTATTTCTGGAAAATAAGAGCAAACAGAAATAGAACTGCCACACAGTGCTATGAATGAGAGAGAGAGAGAGAGAGAGAGAGAGAGAGAGAGAGAGAGAGAGAGAGAGAGAGAGAGAGAGTTGCTCTCCCCCCTCTCTTTCTCCCCCCCCCCCCTTCTCCCCTCTGTTTCTCCCTCCCTGTAGTGTAGAAGGTCGGAATGTGCCACGTGTTGGTCTGCCTCCGTGCTCTGCCTCTGTTGTGTCTGTCTACCAGTCTTGCTTTTGTCGGCGGTTGGCGGGTGCTCTGGTGTGGTTTGCTCCTTCTTTCCTCTTAAGCATCTATCGTCCTTATCTCTCCTCCTTCTTTTTTACGTTTGTTGTTACTCTCTTGTAACACCTCTAATCTTCGGCACTTATATGACCTTATTGTGTTGCAAGTGCCGTAAAACTCTTTACTAAACTAAACTAAACTAAAACATCTATCGTCCTTATCTCCCCTTCTTCTTTTTTGTGTTTGTTACTCTCCTGTAACACCTCTTATCTTCTGGCGCTCATATTATGACCTTATGCAGTTGCGAGTGCCGTAAAACTCTTACTAAAACTAAACTAAAGTCTTGCTTTTCCCAAGATATGAATGAGCGTTGTTGTGAGCGCTCTGGCAGATAAGTTGGTATGATTAAAACAATTTTTTGGTAAGTGTTTTACGGCGCTCGCAACTGCATAAGGTCATATGAGCGCGCGGGACGCACCAAACATTTTCAGTTTGTAGGAACTTTTGAATTTTGCGTGGGTGGCGGCCGAAGCCTACTCTTATCGCTTTTAGACCACCAAGGGATCTTTAACATGCACAACTTGCACACAGGACCCCCGAGATTTTTCGCCCTTGTCCGAGAAGGCAAGGTGTGGATCTTTCCTACCAGAAGATCAGGGGTGTGGCTGAAAGACAGCAGTAAGAAGGAGCCATTTTTTAGGGATGAAATATTTGTGTCTGAAGTGAACAAGGAGAAGCACATCGACGCAATAATTGTCATTTAGTGCTGGGAAAAAGTTAGAGAGACAGACAGACAGAAACAATGGATGGAAAGTGAAGAAGTGGAACTTATCGGTGGCACCCTCTAACCAACCGCGAAATATTAATAGCTGAGGTCACCAATTTGTGTAAGCTGTGTGTCATTATTATCAAACAGATTGCCTCGTGAAAGATATGAGGGGAACAACTGCTGTTGTTTTCTGAACAGTTGGAACCAACAGATTTGTCCCTCCTCTCCTTTTCATTTTGTGGGATGAAAATGGTGAATTGATATAGGTTTAACGCCCTTATCAACACTATTAAGTTATTTAAGTGACTGGACCTCCCAGTTTAACGTCTATCTCCGAAAAGACCGAGCCAGGGAAATTCGTGGGAAGTGGCGACGGTGGCCTAACTAGTAGTTAGGCTCTCGGAATCGCAACTGTAAGGTTGTGGGTTCGAATCCCGTCAGGGGCCTGACGTTGTGTCCTTAGGAAAGGCACTTTACACAAATGGTGGGAAATGGGTACCCAGTTTGTTAGTGTTTGAGCGCTTAACTGCTGCTTGCACTATATGTTTCCCGGGAAGCTGAGAATGATTCTGAGTGTTCTATGGTCTGCTGGGCTGGGGTAATAGTATAGTGTAAAGCTATACAAATACTATTTATTATCATTATTATTATTATTATTATTATTATTATTATTATTATTATTATTATTATTATTAT